ATATCGTTTCTATCATTTCTTGCACTAATAATACTTCAAATAGGTGTGCCAGTTCTTTAACCGTACGTTTTTACTGTTGCTGTTACTAATATTACTTACTTTAACCATTCTTGCTCTAAGCTTTTTATTTGTAGCATGCTCACATTTTTAGAACATTTTAAATGATTTCGGTTTTCACCATCTAATGAATAGTAAGGAATAAAATATTTTTAAGTTCTGCGAATATTCATTGTTAAATTTGAGTAGTCAACTCGGCAAAAGTATGTGTCAAGTGATTCATAATCGGGCACACACTATTGCATAAATAATAAAACTATGAGAGTTGCACAGGGTTTTTAAAAGTTATACGGTTAATACTCATAGGTTTCATGCCTCTCGCATGACGAGGTCGGCATATTGAGACCACTGGGACTGGGGTGGGCGGGAAGTAAGGTTGACTGTAAGCCATGTTCATAGGTCAAGTGTGGGGAGTGAATATCACTAACAACCGTCATCAGGCAGTGAGGGCGACAGGCGATCAACACCCGAATTCGGCGCCGGCTGCGATAAAGAGAGCATATCTTTGTATTCGTGCCTTCTGACAGTACAAAACTAGATTCGCTTAAAGTATATCCACTGCCTCGACTGTTGCTCGCACTCGTTTTGACTACTAAAAATTTCGATTACCCTGTTTTTAATGTTATATATATGGGGAAAATTCACAGCTGGATACTCATTTTGAGTTTGTCAGTTCCCTCTGAAGCACTTCTCAATCATTTAAAATAACACTTTTCAGAACCAAATCTTGGCTTTGTTCACGTACATGAATACTTTATCCGTTTTTCTGGCATGCATAAAGACAGTTTCTGTTATTCTTGACAGATCACCAGTTTTGTCCCCATCAAGCAAGGTGGGCGAATTTTAATGTGTCTGAAACCTCCGTGACTTCCATTATTTAGAGGGTTCTGAGATAGTTGATTTTACTTTTAAATACTTCGTTGACTGCATCGAATTGCTATTGCAGATCTGCTTTATCTGACACCGATAGCATTTACTAACTCAAACGGTACCGCTTAGTGGGCTGTTTTCCCGTAGGTCAAAAGGCCACTTGATTGCAAGTTGATGATAGTTAAGTTGCTTTTCAGATTCAATAGGAAATTTTATCTCTTATAAATCCTGGATTCAGAGGTAGGCTTCAGGCTACAGTAACAATTTAATTGTTTCTCTTAACCCCAATAGCGGCCAACGAGTGTAGACCGATGATTATCGAAAACAGTGCATTCAGGCATTGTTGGTATGGGCTTTTTGAAATGTTGACGTTCCAGTCCACACAATTAGCATACAAGAAGTGTGACAGTACTGACGATGGGTTGATTCGTTTCCTAATCCCCGTGTAAGGGCGTATTGTCAGGTATTTAGCCTTTACCATTTACTTGAACCTGTTATCAAAATTCGGAGGTCTCGATGGGATTCACACTGACGACATCAAGAACAAAGCTAAAATAAAGCACTGACTATACGTGATCTTGTTGTAGTGGATCTGAATCCAAGCGAGGCCGCCGGTGGGGGGGTTCATGAAGTCAAATAAGTTAGTGAAACCCGCCAAAATACCAGTTAAGTAAGAGTGGCTGGTGGTCCTCTGTTTGATTCTAGTTTCATCGATTAGCAAATCCCGTTTGGGCAGTCAGCTCACCATATCAGAATTGCTGTATTTATGCGTTTCAGATGGGCTGGTGGGTTGATGGTTACAGCTTTAACTAAATCAGACCAAACTAATGACTCCCGAAAGGACCTCGTAGCTCATCGAGGCCACCTAGTTTTCTCAAAGATGTGAGAGGTAAGTATTTTAAATTCCTAACAACACCTAGTTAAGTGATAATCATTGAGAAAGTAACCTCCTTGGGAATAAGTAAAGCAAGTTCCTATACGAACACTTCCACGAGATATGAAAATAACAGGAAAACTGCAACACTTTTGCGTGCAAGGACTTAAGGGCGATAGTGTACCATCGGCAGTCACAAAGAATAATGTCGCCATCTCCTACTAAAACGGCGCGACGATGGGGTTTTGTAAAAAAAACAGGTTTGCGTGTATGAAGTTATGCAGGACTTATCAACTTCACCTGCTGGCAATCCACTCATCCGGGGATGGCTTAATGACCAGGAATTGCTTTCGGTAACGCCCAGCAAACGTGATAACGCGAGACCATCAAAAGTTCCGCCGCTAATGGTTCGTCTCGTGAGAGAAAATAAGCGTTAATTCTTGTATTTTGTCGAATAAGCGAAGTCAGACAACTTTTGAGTGCCACGAACTTATTTCCATTTTCATTAGGGTATTGTAAAATTTAAATCACTGAAAAAAGGCAAAAATATCACCTCTTACTTTGAGATTGCATCCGCATAGTTGAGACACTTGTTTGCTTTTATACTTATGACAGTAGCCTTTAAAAATTACGTAGTTAAACTCTCACGGATGCAGTATTCATCTCCGTCCGTCTGTTATATCTTTTAGTCATTGTAGTGATCGCCAGGCCAATTATGACCTTGAATTTCCTGAGAAATATGAAGTCATCGAAAATCCTTAGCTCTGGTAAGGTCGCTGTTGTACAGTTTGATCCTCCTTCCTCAAACGTCTACGACACGCTGCGCGCCTGGCGTTTGGCCATGAGTTTCGAAATGGAAATTGGCGAATCAGGGCTATGCCTTTTCATCTTGAACACAAGTCCTGCCGGATCCGGATTTAACTTTTCGTCCACATATTTGGATTCGGTGCGTAAGCAAGGGACACTGTCCTGGCGTGTTCTACGACTTTATTATTTTCAGTGAAAAGACTTTAACGTGACTTTGAGACCAGACTTTTAAATTTGGCGACTCTTTACGTACTAGCAGATTAATTTTAGGATAGGCTTGCTAAATGTATTAATGCTTTTTAAAGATTTTGGAATACTGAGGCTTACGGGGCACAAATGTGCTAAGTTTTGGTTTAGGAATGTTCATTCGGATGAATGTTGAGCACTCCAGGTGATGCTTCGTCAAGTTTACTTATAATACACATGCCTCTATTTTTATCATTCTTTAAAGGACGTAAGCTGGTAGCTTCTTTTAGAATGAATCCATATGTTAACCTTACATATAAAAACAAATCGAAACACGTATATTTTGGACTACAACATAATTACAGGTGAACTTTTAAATTGAATTGTGACGAATTATCTGCACTGTGAATAAGCAGTTGATTTCTTCTTTCTTATACTGTTATCAACACCAGACTTCGTTTATTAGCCATCATGATTAAGATAAGGTTCTTCAAAATACAATTGGGACTGCACTTTAGACTGGAATAACTTGGAAATATTCAAGTCGACAACATTCGATTTTCTACAAAAATTGCAATGGCTTGCATGTGAGCAGGGAAGGAATGGAATTTAATCCCTTTTGAGAAAGCTATTCTCGGCAATAGTAGAGAATATGCGATTTCAAGGAAGCACTTCAGAAGAAGAGGATGCGATCACTAGAAAAAGAGTTTTTTTGCCTGACGTTTCGGATTCCGTCGGGAATCCTTAATCATAGGTGATGGTAACAGAGTCATGGTCATGCGCAGATGGGGTTGAGAAATGCTCAGGTTGCACGTTATTTATAGTCCATAGTGGTCATCCGCGTGTGTATGATAATGTTTTACCATCACCTCTGATGAAACGGATTCCCGACGGAATCCGAAACGTCAGGAAAATAAAACTCTTGTTCCAGTGGTCGATTCCCGACGGAATCCGAAACGTCAGGCAAATAAAACTCTTGTTCCAGTGATTGCATCCTTTTCTTCTGCAGGGCTATTATTGCCGAGTGGTTGGACTCGATGAAAATGCCGAGAGCAGCCCAAAGACATTACGCTCGGAGAGAAACTGCTCTGAATACCGGCAGGCAGACAGCCGTGGAACCTTAAGTTCGAGGCTGGTTCAAAACGTAAATGTAGTCAAGGCTATCAACCGCCACGAGGAGTGCACAGACGAACATACTTTCCGACGCCATCGTCGACGAGCAATCATCACGCCAGCCTCGAACACGGCTGATGAGATCTCAGCAGATAAGGGCACGCATGCCGGCCAGCAAGCATTTAGCGTCCCAGAGGGCAATCATCACCGATGAATGGGGGGAGGGGGGACTAGTGACTACATCCTATAATTACTGCAACTCGCTATGTACCAAGTACCCGCATCGGTTGCTGTCTCTTAGGGTGTGTTTGAGGTGGAATGCAAGCCGTCAGGCGAAACCCTCTCGAACTTCAAACCGCCTGACGACATCAATCAGATTTTTCCAGTTCTTGACTTTCGTATATGAGTTAAAATAGGCTTCCGTACAAAGGCTCCCACTGGGGCCCGTGAAGTTAGCAACATTGTGGTCGAGGTCATCATCATCATCTGCAGCAGCAGCAGGAGAAGGAGCAGCATCATCCGCCAAATACAGAACGCACGTATGAAAATATTGTTTAACTTATATTTCCCATTTTCCTAAACGTGCAAACCAAACTTCATCCTGCGTTTTCGTCATAATCTTTTCGTAAGGTAGCGTTAAATTCCATAGTCCTCTTTTTCTCAAGAAAATACCGCCTGAAACTTGAACCATATAAGAAGTGGTCAGTTTATATTTACGCTACTTTTCACATCCCTTTTAACTCCTTTTATGAAAATCAAGCATCTGGATATCACCCTTGCATCTGCGGCCTCTCTAGCCATAAGAATGGCCCAATTGCTCCTTGACTATGGAAACGGCAGCATTCCAAACAATACTAACTTCTTCCGACCGTTGGCAGAACCCCTCATTCGAGTGCCCACCCTTCCGGGTATTACTTTCAGCCTCGGCCAATGGGGCACACATTTTTTTAACTACTACGACTTCTACCTTTTCCGTATCCAAGGCGACCTCCTTTTCAATACCAGCCAGAAAGTGGCCACAGCAAAGTGGGAGGACATTTACCAGTTGGAGGGTATGATCCTGGCAGGCACAAACATTGTTCAGGAATGCACCCCGAGGCGATGGCCCAGTAATGGCTCTGGCCCAGGGGTCAACTACTGCATGCTGACTGTTTGCGAAGATGGTAATTCGTCTCAGATTGAGCATCCATCTTACTATACAGTTATGTGGCATGCTCATGGAGCAGTTTTGTTTAGGTTGAACTCTCCAATGATCATTTGCTCTCTTCAAACAGGTGCCTTGTTTAAATGTCCCTGCCGCTTTATCTGGAACACGGGCGGGTAGATTTGCGGTTTATTTTGTATCATGAGTTACTGCTTATCTCTGAGACTATTATGACACTCAATGCTAACCATCCTTCTTATAGGACAGGGAACGGTGATGGCCTTCGTAATGATCGCCCAATGCGTATCAACTATAATCTTCTTCGTGACCGTGAAAAGTCATTTTAGGTAAGAAAAGATGCCTCGGTTGCCTGTGCTTAAGTTAAAGTCCTTTTCTTTTATTAATTGTGTAAACTGTTCTAAATCTGACGAATAAATATTTAGGTAATGTTCATTCTAGCAAACATTTTGCCCTATTCCTTATGACGGATGTGAAAGTACCTGCACTGGCTTCGAGAGACAGTCAGTGAAAGGCCTCGGAATCAGATTTGCCAATTATACCGAGCATAGAAAACGTTCCAACCGCCAAAATACATTGAGGAAGTGACATCAGTTTCACGTACTCCCAAGTCAATTCAAGTTTGTTATGGGAAATAAAGGCAAACGCTTTTGAACTCCTTATTGGTACACAGGAGTGAAGAAATGCATCGGTGCAGCAGAAAATTTCAAAAGAGGTCATTTGCGTGATTGTAGGCGACTGCTTACTTGTTCCAAGTAATACAAGCACATGTGATAATGTCAGTTAACATGAGCCAGCTAGTGTAACTGAACAAAAATAGCAAACAGTGAAAACACTCTCAAGGCATGGCTCAAAATTAAAAATATGGAATGGCGTTTGTGGAATTTTTAGGAGAAGGCTGTCAATCGTAGGAGGAAAGTATGTGCAAGATAGGACCGGCTTGCTGCTGAGAATGTTTGTGGCAAGCCAGGAGAGCCCATCGCGTTTAATCTCTCTATCCGAAGGGTCACACTAGGAGGAGACGGTAGAGTCACGAGAACATCACGAAGAGCCCTTGCTGCTTGCCGCGTCTTCGATAAAATGACGAAAACAGAGGAATCCACCACGGTCGTCAGCAGTCGGTTTCAGGTCGATATGAAGAACGTTACAATACCACGTAGCCTAGAACGACAGGTGCGGTAGAGGCCACTGCTGACGTGATCGTTGGAGTTTGTATGGTGACAAGGAGATAACGCTAAATTGTGGGGCTATGTACGATGAAAAATACTTTGAGTATTCAATAATACTACTAGCTAATACTATTTAATAGCATGTTTATAGCATGTAAATGTTTGGTTTCAGAGAAGCTCGTTGTATTTTCAGGTGACACGGTGGTACGTTAAGCTATTTCAAACTCCAAATTATAATGACTAACCTAATCGACTGTAGTCGAAGCACCGAAGCTTGAAATATTACTATTTTATGAAAGTGAAAGGTGTACATGTGATCCTAAGGCGTGACGTTTGCAGAGGACCTGATGAGACGGAGGCTGCGGGAGCCCGCTAACGAGGATAGGTGCCTTTTTTCGGGAGACTCCTAGACTGTATGACCGTTCGACCGTTGGCGTCGATAAAGTCCATCGAGTGCTTCAGTGGTCTGAAGGCAGACTCGAGGTACCACCTTCGGAGTAGTTTTAAATGGTAGTAGATTTGCGTCTAGTCTACCATATTCTGTCATCGTCCCACATGGAATGAAAGTTTAAACTTGTATGTTTTTCCTACAAGTGAGTCGTGTGAATACGAGAGAAGGGGTCGTAAGAGAAGACTGGTTAGGCGGCAAGGGTTTGGGTGGAAACAGTCTAGGGGAAGGTGGAGGAGGGAGGGAGACAAAGAGAGCACGGGCGACTGCATGCAGCTAGGTGGCTGTGGGCCATGCCAGACGCGGTACTTGCAGGAGGTTCTTTTTTGCACAGAACGCCGGCTTCCGCAGCCTGATACCGGTCGCTTCTGTTGTTGCCAATGGGTGCTGACCCAGGGAGTTCGGATGGTTTGGTGGAACCTTATAAACCACCTGGAAGGCTTCGTTGGGATCCACACGATGTCTGGAATCAACAGTGTGGTCGAGAATGGCGCTATTTATGCTTTTGACTTAACCTGTGCTCAGCCATACTGTGAGGTGCTCCCGTATTCTTTTGCATAAGCGCTCACTCGTACGACCAATATAGCCTGCTTAAGGGAAGCAAATAACTGAGTAGCTGTACATGTAGGTAGTCTGAGCTGACAACCTATCCTTACCTTTCTCGGGTTGTTGGAGAATAATACCCTAACTCTCGCTGTTGGGGAGGTGTCTTCCTAAGAGTTCAATTGACGCATCCTCTTGAAGAGGGACTTTGAAGAATCACTTTTTCTTTTCCGCGGTAAATGTATTGGGCTTTGTCTGCCTCACAACAATATTCTTTGAAATTAATCCCTCAGGATATCCTTTCTCGCAAAGTGGGTTCTGGATTTTCTTAATTTCTATGTCAACATTATCTGCCGAGCAATTTTCCTAGTCCTTTGCGTCAAGCAGCGAACTAGATCCTGTTCCTGTTGAAAAGGTATGAAACTGCTTAGACTTTTTATTGCCTCTTCAGACGCTACCGTCAGGTCTTCGACTTAGGAAGACGCCCAAGAAAGGAAGCGAACCTGTCGGTTCCACTTCCAAAGGGTACTTAGTGAACGGATGCGTTTGACTGAAAGCACTCAAGCGTGCATCTACATAGGTTTTTGCTGCGGAGATTGCCAAGATGTCAATGACTTAGCGACCATAATGTTTTATCTTATTTATTTGAAATTTTTTCAGCTTGCCCATGGAGACATTGTCTGAGAGAGGTCCCAGAGGCGAACCCCTTAATAACGCTGTCTATTTATCTGTGTAGGTGATTAGCAAAAGGAACTGTGCATTTAATGTGCATTTTAGTAATAGTTCATTTAATAAATTCGTTGCTATTCCTAGTTCCATCCGATTTATCAATATAACTTTCATTGGGTACAACTGTGCAAGACCTGACGGCCTTAGTTGGATTCAGACTCACACAGTTAAGGGTAAGGCTTTATTACAGCCAGCGCTCTAGCAAACTGGGCTGCAAGGTCCTCAGTAAGTGAACCTAAGTTTCATGACGCCTTATATTTTGGAACCTAATGAAAACCCACAGCTTATATCTTATATTTTTGCCTTACTTTCTTCTTTTTCCGCGTCCATCAGAATAAAAGTTTAATCGCATCCTTTGTTTCATCCTTATGCAAGCACACATAAGAAAAATTTACGGCTACGCACGGGCAATAACAAACTGATTCTCTATCCGGACGACATCAAGCCCAAGAAACAACCGAAACGCGTTCGACATAGAGACGAGGTACCTCCACATTACTCTGATATTTTGATCGCATCAAACTGTTCGCTTGCTCGATCGTTAGGCTATGTTAATTTTAGACACTCTGCTCACACATAAGTTGAAAATTGGGTTGCAGTTTACTTAAGATAACGCCAAACTCGAGGTGATTAAACTCTTTCATTCAAGCGTGCCCATAAGGAGTCTTACGTTGTCAAAAACTCATTTAACATAATCCCAGGACAATTAAGACACGCCAGGATGCCGCCTTCTGAATGTATTGATTGCCTGTCGTTTGCAGTCGATGAAAATAGGGAATTCGGCATTGTGGATTATTTTTATTCATGTTATATGCACTTATATGTTAGGATATAACTCATGCAATAATTTTATGTCAGATCTGCATTCATGGTTCCGATTCTACAGAGTGTCTAATTTCCATGTTGGGAAAAGCAAGCATCCAGTTCTGCTATTAAGAACAAATCCTGCATAGATAGGTTGAAAATGGTTTGCATTCAATGCGGGCATCCCGACATAATAAGTCAGCATTATAACTCCACTCATGTACTCATCCCTAATCGACACGTTTCCGGATTTCAAGTATCATTTCTTTAGATCGGTGAGTGATTGAATTTTGGCCGCTATAAAAGGAATGATCGGTTTTTGAAAGCTGAATCGGAAAGTATGGAAGTTAGGAAGCAGCAAGAACGAACAGTTGCAGATTTCATGAGGCTTTAAGCAACATGACATATCCGAGCGTCGAAAAGTATCGCAGAGCTAGTTGATGGCTGCGGAGACAGTATACGATTTTGTGCAATATGGAAGTAGCGTTCTTTTTGACAGAAAAATTCGACGTATTTGTGAAAAAGCACTCACACGCATCACTGGGCGACCTACAAAGTGAATCAGACCTACCCCAACGAGTAGCCTTTTAAATTGCTACACCCAGTGGAATAAAAGATGGAACTGCTTGAAGGCAGTCGAAGAGAATGGGACATGATAACTCGAAGAGTATTTTTATTGACTCAACGTTTATTTTTCACCGTGGAGTCCGTAATCAGAGATATAATTAGATAAGGTAATTTTTTACATGTGTTAACGTAGTTTCAGGATGAACTAGATATGACACTGCCGTTTGGTCGTTCGCGGCAGGCATGGTATTCTTGTTTCTGGTAACAACAAAGTTGCCCGTGGTCCAGAACTATGTATACTTACATACCTACTATATGTAATTTAGTAGACGTAGTTATGTATACTACTGTACGCTAAAACTCCGAAATCTTTAGATTCCCGTGATTACTTTTAATTTTATTGGCTTTAGTTTAGTTTGGGTTTCAGTTAATTGTTTAGTTTATTATATTATTTTAGTTATAGTTATAGATAGCTTAATTTTTAATTCA